GTGCAGCGCTGGAGGGGGACTCCTGCTCCTCCTCCCCATCCTCCCCCTAGGGTGGGGAGGGGGACTCTGCAAGTCTGCCCAGACCCCCGAGGGGAACTCTTCCCCTGCTTCTCCCCCACCATGGGGTGGGGAGGGGTTTTTTGTGAGGCTGCGCAGCACCAGAGGAGGACTCCGTAGCAGCGAGGGGTGGGGGGAGGGGAGGAGTGGGGTGAAGAGTCCTTCTCTGGAGCTGGGCAGCCTTGCAGGGTCCCTCTGTGCCCCACAGTGGTGGGGGCAGGGGAGGAAGGGGCAGAGCCCCCCACTGACTGCATCAAATAGAGCCCCCCTCTCCCGCCCCGCAGTGGCGGGGGGAGGGCGGGGAGAAGCGGGGAGAAGAGTCCCCCTCTGGGGCCGGGCAGCCTGACACAGAGCCCCCTTCCCCACCAGCACCCAACAGAGTCCCTCTCCCTGTCCTGCGACAGTGGGGGAGAGGGAGGAAGGGTAAGAGTTCCCCTCTGGGGCTGGGCAGCCCTGTGTGCCAGGATTGCTCTCCGCTGTCAGGGAGCCGCTGGGGCAGGCAGAGCTGTCCCCTCCTCCTCCCCCCTTGCCACAGCAGTCTGACCATGCTCCCTCTTCCCCCACTCTTGGCACCCTGCAGGCGAAGGTTGGGGTTTACTCAGGCCTGGCCAGGCCTGGTCACACCCCCACCTCCTCAGCTCAGCTTCCGTGTGGAAGTGAAGGGCTGCTCTAGCACTCCCAGGCTTCTGGCCTGAGCCACTGCAAGCATGTGTCAAAAGTCTATCCACTTGCAAACCGGTTCACACTCTGCAGGTTAGACTAACCTGCAAAGATTGAATCAATTCAGGCTCCCGTTTTTTGAATGTTTGTTCCTACCCTAATAGAATAAGCTGCCTAGGGAAGTTTTGGAATTTCCTTCATTGGAGGATTTCAAAAAGCAGTTGCACAGGTAACTGTCTGGGCTTGCTCAGGAACAGCATATCCTCCATTTGTGCAGAGGGTTGGACTGCATTACTTTTGAGGTTCCTTCCAGTCCTATAATTCTAGGAATGTTCCTCTCAGTTACAGGAGAAACAACTTCTGGATCCTGTATTTTTATATCAATGAGTAATAAATCTACAGAAGGCTGCTTATGTACAAATTCTGTACAACGAGTTCTGCACAGAAATGTGGTTGCGTCTCAGTCTTGTGCTATGGTTTGCATACATGACTAGATATAAAGCAGAAGCTATCTGTATTTGAAACCAAGACAGTGAAGAACTGTCCATGAAATATGACAGGGGCAATCTTACGAAAATCTAACAAAACTGGCTTTACATTGTTACAGCCTTACAAACTCTTAACTCAAAGTCAAATTTTACAGCACATCAGAACACAAGGTAGGGAACAGTTCTGGCCCAGAGAATGCAAACAATTATCCCTGGAGACTCGATGCCACAGGGTAAACAAGTTGTATAAGAATACTTCACAACATGCATTAATAATACCAATCTATGAAAAGAAAACAGTCCATGAACCTCACTGCACTATTTTTGCTATGCTTTCCAATGGCCCATCAAGATTAATTAAGATTAGGTTTTAAGAGTCATGCTGTATGTTCACACTCACCCCATAAAGAGGTTAAAATACAGGCGTGCACTGCCATTTTCTTTCAACCATATAATTGAATGGCATTTTAAATAATCTGCTCATATCATGTGAAAACGTATCATGCCAGAACAAAAGGTATACAGCAAATGATCAATTTTTAAGATATACTATAACATGGAACGTGTCAGTGCATTTTTTGCTGGCTCTGTGATGCTACATGCTGGTTTGGTAGAAATAATAGCATATAGCTTTAATGTTCTTAGCCACTGAAAACCTTTTCTACAGTGGGTGCTTCAGTGGCTGGTTCTTTTTTAAGCAAGTAGTTCCAGTAGTTCCTTACTACTAAACCACTCAAAAATAGCTAAAGGAAAAGGAATAAGGAGTTACACAACCTTCAGAGCTGCGGGGAGGAGTGTTAGCAAGTGGTAATACACCAAGATGTACACTTCTAGCAAAAAACAATTACAAACTAGTAATTACCTCTTCTTTAAATTGATTCCTTCTAATCTCTAATGGATTTACCTCTAATCTCAAAGTAATTACCTTGACTCTCAATGGATTCTCACTCTTGGGGAGACTAAGCAACTCCAGGGAAACCTTGGAAAAAGGTTCATCTGCAGTATGAAAAACTAATAATGCATGTGCACCTTGACCAGCAAGAACAAGAAGAACATATACACAGAGAAAGGTCTTAAGAGGCAGATAATGGCAGCTTAGCTACTTATTGCCTGATAAGCAAACATGGAGCACTACTAGCTGAGCTGCTGAAGGTTGCCAACATGACCACGTGAGATCCAACTGCTTGCTTCAAAACAAACAGAAGTACCTTTATTTCCATGTTATTTCACGTGCCATTCTCTCCCCTGCTTTTACCTATAGCATATTGTTGTATTCGTTATATTTCCAGTTTTGTATCCTGTAGTTGCCCCTGAGTTTGAAGCGTTCACTCTGATCTTTTGGTAACTGGTTGCCTGAAAATTAATGGGGACAGGACTCTCTAGTCCAGGAGATGCCTCTGAAATCCAAAATTCCAAGAAGAGGGGCTGCTCTTCTGTGGGCAACGCTGAAGCCAATTTCGACTTGCAATACTTAACAGAAAAACTAAAGCCACAAGCAGCTGGACTCCTCTAGCAGATCAAGTGGGATAAAGAGAACAAGGGACAAAGCCAAAGAATCAGTGCCTTAGCATTAACTACAATGTAATTTAGGAGATATAAGGAAGTGACATTAGCGATGACAGTAAATTTTAAACATCTAAAAACTCAGGGTCCCCTCTGGAACCATATCCAGATGTCCTGCACTCCACAAAATACCTAGTGAAAGGCAACCCTTTAGAGAGATGATTCTCATAATCTGAAGGAGAAATAAAACAGAGAGGTCACAATTTAAAACATTTGCTTCTGAAATAACTGAGAAAGAAATGCCAGATTACTATAGGTTTGACAAGGACAAATTGATTGATTTTTTTACCATATTACTGGTGCTTAGTACAGCAGCTCTAGCTCCCTCAAATGGGGAAAAAACATGTTCTCTCCATTCCCAATCAGCTCTGACAGTTGGGGTAGAGCAGGGATGGGCAATTATTTTGCTGAAGGGGCACTTTAGGAATTTAGGTGAGCTGTTGCAGGTGGAGTGGGGGTGGGGAGGACTGGCCCAGTGCCGGGGGTGGGGGGGGTGGGGGGGGTGTTGACCTGGCCTGGCATGGTGAGGGCAATTGATATTTTCTGTCCCAGGTCTGTCTGTCCTGCACCCAACACTAGGGGTGCTGAATGGAGCAGACAGGTGGGGTCTCCATGGGACCTGCACAGGCAGGGCAAGCTTAGCCAGGCAGATGGGATGGGGTCATGGGGGAGAAGGCAGGCAGAGCGGTGTCTGGAAGTGGTATCTGGTAGCAGGACAGGTAGGGACCGGGCTGGGATCGTGGAGCAGTGAAAACGCAGGGCTTGGGCCTGAAGCAGACCTATGTTCATTTCACCACAATTCTCTGCTGTGTGGGGAGTAGATCATGGCTCTGCCCTGGGCCTTGGTTCCATGCTGTCACCACCCTTCTCCCTGGTTTGCTGATTCCCCCCTACCTGCTTGCGGCCCCATCCCATCCACCCGACTGAAAATGCCCTGCCCACAGGGATCTTGGTCAATCTCTGTCTGGTGCCCCCAGCAGTGGGTGCAGGATAGAGGGGCTGGGGTGCCTGGGTTTGGCAGTGGTGGAGACGCTAGCAACGGCAAGCAGGAGTCATTGCCAGGCTGCCAGGAAGTGGAGTCCAGCCGCTGTGCCACCCTCACCCTGCTGCATGTCTGGGGACAGCAGGACCAGCTGCATGCACCATGGCTTGGACTGTCCCCTGTGGCCAGGCTGGGCAGGGCTGAGGGACCCACCACAAGCTAGATAAAATCTCTTCGTGTGCTGTATTTTGGCCACCCCTGGGGTAGAACTACAACAGTGCCACGTCTCCATCTCCATCAGGTAGTACTATTATGGAGTAGTAACCATGTAACCACAGTGGATTGTGCTATAAAGGCTACACAGAACTAAAGGGAAAGGAAGGCTCCTTATGTTTTCATCCCTTCGGGAGTGTTGAGGCAATAAAGTTTGCAACAGAAAATATTTTAATGGTACATATAAATCTCTAAAAAAATTTAAAATCTATAAGGTGCTAAAGTTAATTATTTTTAAACTGCCACAGCTACTGCCAACCAAAAAACAGCTACATTAGCCTTAGAAAGTACAATATAATTTACTGCACTTGGAACCCCTTTCCCAAGCCAAAAGAGCATTTCTTACAATCCTGTTACTTACAGTTTCTCTTGCAAGTCCAGAAAAACCACAAACATAAAATCAAGTTGAATTTACTGAAGTGTTAGTAAGCTGCACAAAAGAAGGTTATCTAGGATGTACAGGTATAATTCCACTATAGAACTGTACAGCATGGGATTCATAGCTTAAGGGTGTTTTTTTTGTCTACCAGAGACAGGATGTTTATAGATGTTTTAATGAAACCCAGCTAACAGTACTTGATCTGCAATCTGACAACAACTGACTGCAAAGAGTATAACATACTTACATGTAAACTGGGATGATAGGTAAGTACACCGTTGTCACACAATGTAACATATTTCTTCTTCCACTCTTTATTCAATGATTTGCCACTTCGCTTTAGCAGCATACCCTGGTAGGAAGCAGAAAGATAAAAGACAAAAGAATTAACATATGAACTTTTGCATACACCATTAATTAAAGGACAAAAGACAAAGGCCATATTTACTATCTTTTTAGTACTCTGCTGGTGTCCGTATCCCCCTAAGCTTGTTTCCTCTCTGGAGCAATACCTACTAGCATTACCAGACTTAAGTAACAACACAACTCTTCTATATTGCTTCCAATAAAACAGTAAAGTAGGTTAAGCCAACAAAATATTTATCTGCGTCAATGTTACTCTGTCCACTTAGCATAGTAACAGAAAATTTTGCATTGAATTACACTTCCTTTGGAATTCATATTTTACTGGTGGTACTGAACCAGATTATGCCCATGACAATGAATTTCAAGTTGAGCAAATGTCAGGCAACATGGATTTTCCATGCAATTATGGGTTCCATTGTCTGCTGCTTGTGGCTTCCTCTCCTGCACTGGCTATTGCACAGGCAAAGAATTCAGAGTGGTTAGTGCTGGACTTTTTCTATATCGCACTTATAGTTGTGTGTGCTCTCTCTCTCTTTTCCATGATGTGGCACTAAAGAGAATTTCCTTCACCTGCTTTTTCTAGTAAGAGGAAACAGTACTCACTACAGGTGTCAGCAGCAGGAAAGATCCTTGTGGGAAAACAAAGCTAAAGTAGACTGTATATGTGAGTGAAATCTTGAGAGTGGAGCATGGGAATAAAATGAAAACACAGATGGAGGGATAGGTTGGGAGGGACGACAGCAACTATTTTCCCCACAGGGTGGCAGAGAGAATGAGAGCACACATGCAGGAAGTGATTTACTGCAGATTAAGAGATTAAAGACAGAATTATTAAACAGTTAATTAAGAACTAAAAATAATGTAAATGTATAGCAACACTGGAAGAAAAAAGAGGAACAAGGACAAACAAGAACATTAACAGGAAACAAAATCTGTAAGCAAGCTGATGAATCCAGATTCAGACAAACCACACTGGAATTTACAAAGAGCTGGAATTTAGCAAAATACACAGGAAAAGGAATAAAACCAATAAAAAGCCGAAGGAAAAAACATTAGTTTATAGTATACTTCACATGTTACTGGCAGTTTTAACACTCAGCTGGAAAAATATTGAAATTTACACCTTTCCATAACTAGCACTAACCACCAAAGGTTTCCAGTGTGAGTAAAAAGGAGAAATTATATTTGGACAATCACTAGGCCTAAACACTTCTTCCACTGAATGTTAGCATTTTACATGCCATAGTTTAGGTTTTCAAAATTCATCATATCTAGATTACAAAGTTACAGAAATTCCAGCCAATTTATTTTAAACTAAAAATAAAATAAGCATTTTTTAAAGAATTCAGTGAATTACCACCTATATTATTAGGTTAAACCAAAGCAGTCCTTATGCACAGATTTGCTTCTGATCCAAAATAATCTAGAATGTATTACTTAATCTGAATGCTAAATAGAATAAATTGGAAAATGATTTTTCCCAGTTAAAATTTCTTACTCCAGCATAATTCTATGACTGCATCACACTACTGTCTAAACTCTGACCATTCTGTATTAACAAATACCTATAAATTGGCAAATCTTGTACTACCTATGGGCTCTCCGCAGCTGTAGAAAACAGCTGAAACAAAAATCAATATCTTATGCTCATTAAATTAAACCTAGCCATAACCAGCAATTTGAACTAAAACATGTATAAGTTTTCCCTTATAAATATGATTGAAGAAAGCTTCCAGTAAATGAAATGAAAGCACTCAATATTAGTATATGGAAAATGAAGCAGGAAATACACGAAATTGTGCAAATTCGTAGTAACTGGAAATAGTACACTTCTGAAGAATACTACACTTAGAGTACATGTGCTATGTACTTACTTTATCAACAGATTGCTTTATAAAATTACGTCACTCCAGACTGAATCCCAACAATAAAGGGACAAGGGTCAGTCCCGTGCCACTGCACAATTAGAACTGCTCCACTGCCTCAGAAAACTGGCTCCCTCCCTGAAACACTGAGATACTTAATCCTCAACTAAACCCCGTGTGCCACAATCCAGATGGACCCATAATATAGCAACCATCAAGATATTTCCATAGGGAAGTCCCTATGGTCATAATTGCCCTTTACTGGACACACTCCCCAGATAAAGGCCACAAAGTGACCTTTGAGAATTCAAACATGCTACGGAAGACACTGTATACAAAGGCAGTCCTCACATAACTGAAATTAGGCATCAATGTGAAGATCTAGCTTTCTGATATTCTAGAGGGTCAGGTTTTTCTCTGTACTGTTGGTTGTAACTTTCTAGTACTCATGATCTCAAACTTTTAAAAAATGGTACAGGGTTCTGAAGTAGCTTCTTACATGCTTCCAGAAGTTTGAGGTTTGTGCGCCAATTACAGAGTCTTCTCATGTAAGAGAAGTTGTTTTCTTCTATTAAAAATGAAAGCTTACATCTGCCTTTGATTTCCATGTTTGTCTGTAATAGGTGATCTGTCATTTCACCTTTCCAATCTTTTATACTCTAGAATTCAGTTTTCATTATCACTGTGTTATGTGGATCAAAACTTACTTCCCCAAAGCTCTTTCCCCCATGGGTACTGAGGTGCTTATTCCTAAAACACTTTAAAGGGAATTAAGCCCAAAGGATCACATACTGACAATTTTTTCTTTCCATTATCTTTGAAGTTTAAAAAAGGTAGAATTACATTTCACAACTTTCTGAATGTCCTGTAGCTATGGGTAAAACTTGTTACTATTATGGGAGCATAGTTAAACCAAATTATAAACTCAATGCATTGTGATGACAATAAAATATTCAATATTCACCTGGATTTCACAAGGTAGAAACTTTGCTACTCTTCCATTTATGAATTAGAAAATTCCATTTTATGGATCCAGATGAAGTCATCACCCTGACATTTCAATCAAAATGGTGGTTAGACAGGTCTTTGCTTGATTGTTTTTAAGGACTCCACTGGACTTTTAGGTAGGACCAGGTTCTATTAAGTATTAAACGTATGTAATAGGAATGATGAGGCATATTATCTGCTTATCTGTGTCTCTTTTAAAAAAAAAGTTGCGATATATTTTGTGTGTGTGCTATAGCAAACATTCTTTGTATTATACAACAGAAATAATCTTAAACAAATACTGCATGCAAAAACCTCTGACAAGTGTAACGCCTGAGAAATACTGCGTGCAAAAACCTCTGGCAAGTATAACCCCAATATACTAATCAAATTGAAGAAATCAACTTAACTTGAGAGAATTAGATGCGTTTAGGAAATGCTAGGAAATAGAGCAAAAGCTGAAACGTTCTTCTAGAAGTATATACAAGGCACAGGAGAAACCTAAAATATTATTTTGTGGAGCTACAAAAAGCCTGATAGTACATATATACGGTACCCCAAACAATCCCCATGTACAAAGGTTGTTATAATAATTACACAAATGACTAGAATGAGGCAGCAAACAACAACAGGAACAAAAAGAGTTAGTGTATCCCTCTGCCACGTGATTTTTATGTAGCTGAATAAAAAAAGTATGCATAGCTAATAATAACCATAGGTTCCATCAGACCAAATACAAACTTCACAAGCTATTTTTGACTTACACACATGCTCAGTACACAGTAGAACAATCAATATTTCTGCACTTAAGGAAAAACAGCAACCAGCTAAATATGAAGGAAAAAATAGGATAACATATGATATAGCACATATTCAAGACTAGAGTCAGCTCTGGATATGAATATTCCCAAACTCTGTGATGAAGTAGATCTGGGGCTCCAGTTCAAATTCACCACTGGCAGAGCTGTCACCATTTCAGCACAATTCAGAGCATCATGCTATTTACAACAATGTCTCTATTAAATATAGAGAGAGTTCGAGAGTAAAGGCATAGCTTAAGTCACTGATTCTCAACCAGGGTGCCACAGCACCCTAGGGTACCTGGAGATCCTTTCAAAGGTGCCGTGGATCCCACAACATTAGCACAGGTAGTGTGAAAACACTATTCACCAGATAAACCAAAAGATTTAAAAATGGAATGAGAGTGTTAAAAGCATTTTGACCTGTTGTGATCTTTCTGAATTCTTTGCAATGAAAGAGCTGCGCTATCATATTTCCGCAGTCAAAAATTAAGTGAAAACGAAGAGCTGAGATTTTCCAAGGGGTGCCTTGAGTCTAAAAATGTTGAGCACCATTGGCTTAATTTGTAAAGCTTTTAAAAGTCATTGTATACACAAAATACATTCCAATACTGGTTCCAGTATTAATACTCCCACAAAAGACAGTTTCTCAGTATCAAAAGCATCAGCTGAAGATATGAAATTAGAAACATGTCATTTGTACCCAAGTCCTCATTTAGGGAATTGCAGCTCTGCCAAAAGTAGTGCTGGTTCATTCTGCAACTCTGCTTCTGTAAAGTCTTTTCAGTCAGAAACCCAAACACGTTCTTTTCCAAAAATTAATGAGTGACAATAAAACTTTCAGGATAGAGTCTCCTATATTCTTTGTTCCACTGAATTTTTATAGAACGGGAGAGAAGGGAAACCATTACTTACCTAAAGCTAGATGAATCTTTTAGACAAATTTGCCTAAATGGATTTTCAAGGCAGCCTAACATATTATAAAACCAGGTGAATTCAGAAAATATTTCTGAATAACAAAAAAGATTTTATGATGAACTGGAATGTTTTGTTTCAACATTTTCAAATATTCTGACAAAATAGGTTGTTGACTACAAAAGCTCTTGCCTCTCTAAACCAGTTAGTCTCTAAGGACATTTATACATGTTCAGTGTTCCAATGCGCTGTAATTAATTGAGTCTGTTGGAGTGTGGTAATTACTGTGCTTCATCAAACACCAGTGTCATGTGCATCAGTGTCCCCGTGCTGAAAAATGGCAGTGGGGGTGCTTTAACTAAAACTCCTTTGACGAGCTTTAGTTAAAGCACCCCCACCACCATTTTTCAGTGTGGGGA